CCCCCCGCCCTTTCCCATGGGAAATCCCTTTGAATTTTTTCCGCTCTCTCTGCAACTTCTCATGGCACCCTTAGCAAGGATAAGTAATACATTGGCAAACTTGGTAAAATACTCCTAATAAGTTTTATCCTCCACCCCACCCCCACAGAGAAAGATATCTTTCTTTCCAACCATCCAGCCTTCTCTCAAGTCTTTCAATAATTGGCTTCCATAGCGTAACTAAAGCTGAATTAGCCCCAATTGGCAAGAACAAATACAAGAAAGAAAGCTCCCCAATTCTGCATTCAAATGCCCCAACACACTCCATTAACACCTTCCCCCTTACCTCTCCAACTCCTATCAAAACAATCTTAGAGAGGTTCACTCTCAGACCTGTCAACAATTCAAATTTTGCTAAAATTGCTCTCAAGTTCAGCACCTGTTCCACAGAAGCATCCAAAAAGATGAGAGGATGAGAGTATCATCTGCATACTGCAGATGAGAAATGCAAGGTCCATTTGATCCCACCTTAGATCCCTCAATCAAGCCCAGCTGCACACTTTTATCCAATAACAGATTCAACACCTCCATAATTAACACAAAGAATAAAGGAGAGATCGGATCCCCTTGCCTTAAACCCCTAGAATCCTGAAAAAAAAACTTCGAAGAAACTCCATTTATAAGAATTGAAAACGAGACTGATGACACACAAGCAAACATCCGACTTCTCCATCTCTCCCCAAAACCCATTAATCTCTATATCTCTTCTAAAAAACCTCACTCCACATGATTGTAGACTTTCTCAATATCAATCTTATAAACCAGCCCCACTCGTCCACTTCTTAATCTCAAATCAATGCATTCACTGGCCACCAACACCCTATCTAAAATCTGGGGTTCTCACTGAGGAAAAGATGCAGCAACTGATATCTACAGCCACTTCTTCTGCATTTTCAGTCATTGGTCTGTCTGGTGAGTTATCATATTATTGTTCTTCACCCAGTCACCTTTGGATAATTGATTCCAGTGCCTCTAATCATATGATAGGGGCATATTCCAATCAATCTCTCAATAAACATATCATTACAGCTAATGGTGAAAAACTTGAAATGATTGGTGAGATATCTCTTAAACCTCTAATCATATTCACTTTTTTTCTTTTTGAAGAATAAAGAGAAAAATTCATTAAAATAAAAAAGGAATAAGTACAACATAAGGTGATAAGATGTCACCACAAGTATGTTAGTAGCCCCAATAAACCCCCAAAGGCCTAAGAAAACCGCTGCTTACACCCAAGAAAAACCCAATCATAACAGGCCCAATGGCCAATTTAAGTGCCAATAAAACCACCGGCCCGCTACAAAACCAAAGCTGCAAGCCTTTCTGAAGCTTCATCTATAAGTTCATCCTCTTGGATCGAGTAATCCTCGTCCCAGTCCTTGCTCCCCTGAGTATAAGCTTTGCTTTTCTCTTTCTCTTCCTTTCTTGTTCTTTCAAATTTCTACAGGCCCTCTAGGTAAATTCCTCGCCACCCAAAAAATACAGACCCAATCTTTTCCCAACCATCACCTCTCTATCAACTAATTTCTGGATAGCCACATCACTTGAGTCTTCTCCATCAACAACAGTATCCTGTGGCAGCTTGATTCCACTAGATTCAGAATCAACAGCACCCACCTTGTTTTCCGGTTGTTTCTTCAAAGTATGGGGAGGCTATGACTGAACTTGCAATGTCACCCCAGTTTCAGGAGTCCCATTACCTCACTCTCTTCCTTCTATATACCCATTTGTATTTTTTCGTAGGTCTTGCCCCTGCCAAGCCTAGTTTTAGTCTTGAAAACACCTTTGTCACATGAACTATGTTGTGAGATCTCAGATTACACGGTTTCTTGCTGATTAACCCATTACTCTGATCCTCCTCATTCTCTTCCAGATTACTCCTTCAACCCAAATTAACACCCAACCTTCCAATCTTGACCTCCTCAAAATATAGACTATTTTCTATGTTTATTTCATCCTGTTCTCCAGTAGAATCAACAGCATCTGATACATCCTTTCCTTTGACCTCGCCTTTAATTTCCAGCTCAGCACCGGCACTAGAGTTCCTATCAAACCTGTCTCCTCCCCCTCCGGCTCCTCTGTGACAGCAGAGGCTAAACCCTCCAGACACAATGGAACTTGATTTTCAGAATCACAACCGGTCTCTGTAGATGCCATACTTATCCCCCCAGGCTCAGAAGATACCCCAATCCTATCAGACCCACCACTA